ATATTTGGGTCTATTTTGGGAAGTAAATGTAAGTTTAAGTCTTTGATTTAGCCTTCATAGTTACTGTAAAATACCTACTGACAACCTCATTGTTTCAGCTCGGGTTCATGGACCATAGTTGGTGTAAAGAAAGAAAGTGTTGACAGTTAAGTGGCAGGAGAGTGTGTAACATAAGCGTGCTGGTATACCTGTTGTCCTCAGGAGCGACACGGAACACTCGCCACTCTCCATATCGTTGTTCTCCCTGCAGGTTGGTGGCCTCCACCCTCAGGCGGTAACGTGTCTCTCCACCAGTCAGCGTGTGTAGGTTCTCATTTCCTGCAAGTGAACACAATAACCCACCTTGGCTGAGGGTAAGTAAATAAACCTACATTGTGTGATGTTATAGCCATTGGTGGAGTGAGCCACAACAAACTACAATAATATATGAGACACCTTACCCAGCCAGTGTTCTCCTTCAGGGTCCCCGAAGCCCTTCTTGTAGTCTTGCCAAGACCGTGTAAAGTTCTCTTGTGTACTTTGATGGTGACGAGCGAGGAACACCGTCCATGACTGTCCCTCATGTACCTCACAGTACACCCTCACACCTGCTGGTGAACTGACAAACACCTTCATTATAACTACACAACTCTTGTACCTCACAGTCCACCCTCACACCTGCTGCTGGTGAACTGACAAACACCTTCATTATAACTACACAACTCTTGTACCTCACAGTACACCCTCATACCTGCTGGTGAACTGACAAACACCTTCATTATAACTACACAACTCTTGTACCTCACAGTACACCCTCATACATGCTGGTGAACTGACAAACACCTTCATTATAACTACACAACTCTTGTACCTCACAGTACACCCTCATACATGCTGGTGAACTGACAAACACCTTCATTATAACTACACAACTCTTGTACCTCACAGTACACCCTCATACCTGCTGGTGAACTGACAAACACCTTCATTATAACTACACAACTCTTGTACCTCACAGTACACCCTCACACCTGCTGGTCAACTGACAAACACCTTCATTATAACTACACAACTCTTGTACCTCACAGTACACCCTCACACCTGGTGGTCAACTGACAAACACCTTCATTATAACTACACAACTCTTGTACCTCACAGTACACCCTCATACCTGCTGGTGAACTGACAAACACCTTCATTATAACTACACAACTCTTGTACTCACAGTACACCCTCATACCTGCTGGTGAACTGACAAACACATTCATTATAACTACACAACTCTTGGCACCTCCTACAGTACACCCTCACACCTGGTGGTCAGCAGCAAACACCTTCATTATAACTACACAATAACGGCACCCTCACGGTACGCCTCAGCACCTGCTGGTGAACTGACAAAACACCTTCATTATAACTTCCCACACAACTCTTGTGCCTCACAGTACACCCACACACCTGGTGAGTGAACTGACAGCTTAGCCTTCATTATAACTACACAACTCTTGTACCTCACAGTACACCCTTACACCTGCTGGTGAACTGACAAACACCTTCATTATAACTACACAACTCTTGTACCTCACAGTACACCCTCACACCTGGTGGTCAACTGACAAACACCTTCATTATAACTACACAACTCTTGTACCTCACAGTACACCCTCACACCTGCTGGTGAACTGACAAACACCTTCATTATAACTACACAACTCTTGTACCTCACAGTACACCCTCATACCTGCTGGTGAACTGACAAACACCTTCATTATAACTACACAACTCTTGTACCTCACAGTACACCCTCATACCTGCTGGTGAACTGACAAACACCTTCATTATAACTACACAACTCTTGTACCTCACAGTACACCCTCATACATGCTGGTGAACTGACAAACACCTTCATTATAACTACACAACTCTTGTACCTCACAGTACACCCTCATACCTGCTGGTGAACTGACAAACACCTTCATTATAACTACACAACTTGTACCTCACAGTACACCCTCATACCTGCTGGTGAACTGACAAACACCTTCATTATAACTACACAACTCTTGTACCTCACAGTACACCCTCACACCTGGTGGTCAACTGACAAACACCTTCATTATAACTACACAACTCTTGTACCTCACAGTACACCCTCATACCTGCTGGTAAACTGACAAACACCTTCATTATAACTACACAACTCTTGTACCTCACAGTACACCCTCACACCTGGTGGTGAACTGACAAACACCTTCATTATAACTACACAACTCTTGTACCTCACAGTACACCCTTACACCTGCTGGTGAACTGACAAACACCTTCATTATAACTACACAACTCTTGTACCTCACAGTACACCCTCACACCTGGTGGTCAACTGACAAACACCTTCATTATAACTACACAACTCTTGTACCTCACAGTACACCCTCACACCTGCTGGTGAACTGACAAACACCTTCATTATAACTACACAACTCTTGTACCTCACAGTACACCCTCACACCTGGTGGTCAACTGACAAACACCTTCATTATAACTACACAACTCTTGTACCTCACAGTACACCCTCACACCTGCTGGTGAACTGACAAACACCTTCATTATAACTACACAACTCTTGTACCTCACAGTACACCCTCACACCTGGTGGTGGTCAACTGACAAACACCTTCATTATAACTACACAACTCTTGTACCTCACAGTACACCCTCACACCTGGTGGTGGTCAACTGACAAACACCTTCATTATAACTACACAACTCTTGTACCTCACAGTACACCCTCACACCTGCTGGTGAACTGACAAACACCTTCATTATAACTACACAACTCTTGTACCTCACAGTACACCCTCACACCTGCTGGTCAACTGACAAACACCTTCATTATAACTACACAACTCTTGTACCTCACAGTACACCCTCACACCTGCTGGTGAACTGACAAACACCTTCATTATAACTACACAACTCTTGTACCTCACAGTACACCCTCACACCTGCTGGTGAACTGACAAACACCTTCATTATAACTACACAACTCTTGTACCTCACAGTACACCCTCATACCTGCTGGTGAACTGACAAACACCTTCATTATAACTACACAACTCTTGTACCTCACAGTACACCCTCCTTACCTGCTAGTGAACCCGGCAAACACCTTCATTATAACTACACAACTCTTGTACCTCACAGTACACCCTCACCTGAGTATTGAGAACAGCAAACACCTTCATTATAACTACACAACTCTTGTACCTCACAGTACACCCTTACACCTGCTGGTGAACTGACAAACACCTTCATTATAACTACACAACTCTTGTACCTCACAGTACACCCTCACACCTGGTGGTCAACTGACAAACACCTTCATTATAACTACACAACTCTTGTACCTCACAGTACACCCTCACACCTGCTGGTGAACTGACAAACACCTTCATTATAACTACACAACTCTTGTACCTCACAGTACACCCTCACACCTGGTGGTCAACTGACAAACACCTTCATTATAACTACACAACTCTTGTACCTCACAGTACACCCTCACACCTGCTGGTGAACTGACAAACACCTTCATTATAACTACACAACTCTTGTACCTCACAGTACACCCTCACACCTGGTGGTGGTCAACTGACAAACACCTTCATTATAACTACACAACTCTTGTACCTCACAGTACACCCTCACACCTGGTGGTGGTCAACTGACAAACACCTTCATTATAACTACACAACTATTGTACCTCACAGTACACCCTCATACCTGCTGGTGAACTGACAAACACCTTCATTATAACTACACAACTCTTGTACCTCACAGTACACCCTCATACCTGCTGGTGGTCAACTGACAAACACCTTCATTATAACTACACAACTCTTGTACCTCACAGTACACCCTCACACCTGGTGGTGAACTGACAAACACCTTCATTATAACTACACAACTCTTGTACCTCACAGTACACCCTCACAGCTGCTGGTGAACTGACAAACACCTTCATTATAACTACACAACTCTTGTACCTCACAGTACACCCTCACACCTGCTGGTGAACTGACAAACACCCTCATTATAACTACACAACTCTTGTACCTTACAGTACACCCTCACACCTGGTGGTGGTCAACTGACAAACACCTTCATTATAACTACACAACTCTTGTACCTCACAGTACACCCTCACACCTGGTGGTGGTCAACTGACAAACACCTTCATTATAACTCCCCAACTCTTGTACCTCACAGTACACCCACACACCTGGTGGTGAGGTCAACTGACAAACACCTTCATTATATCTACACAACTCTTGTACCTCACAGTACACCCTCACACCTGCTGGTGAACTGACAAACACCTTCATTATAACTACACAACTCTTGTACCTCACAGTACACCCTCACACCTGCTGGTCAACTGACAAACACCTTCATTATAACTACACAACTCTTGTACCTCACAGTACACCCTCATACCTGCTGGTGAACTGACAAACACCTTCATTATAACTACACAACTCTTGTACCTCACAGTACACCCTCACACCTGGTGGTGAACTGACAAACACCTTCATTATAACTACACAACTCTTGTACCTCACAGTACACCCTCACCTGCTGGTGAACTGACAAACACCTTCATTATAACTACACAACTCTTGTACCTCACAGTACACCCTCACACCTGGTGGTCAACTGACAAACACCTTCATTATAACTACACAACTCTTGTACCTCACAGTACACCCTCACACCTGGTGGTGGTCAACTGACAAACACCTTCATTATAACTACACAACTCTTGTACCTCACAGTACACCCTCACACCTGCTCGTGGTCAACTGACAAACACCTTCATTATAACTACACAACTCTTGTACCTCACAGTACACCTCACACCTGCTGGTGAACTGACAAACACCTTCATTATAACTCCACAACTCTTGTACCTCACAGTACACCCTCACACCTGCTGGTGAACTGACAAACACCTTTATTATAACTACACAACTCTTGTACCTCACAGTACACCCTCACACCTGGTGGTGGTCAACTGACAAACACCTTCATTATAACTACACAACTCTTGTACCTCACAGTACACCCTCACACCTGCTGGTGAACTGACAAACACCTTCATTATAACTACACAACTCTTGTGCCTCACAGTACACCCTCACACCTGCTGCTGGTCAACTGACAAACACCTTCATTATAACTACACAACTCTTGTACCTCACAGTACACCCTCACACCTGCTGGTGGTCAACTGACAAACACCTTCATTATAACTACACAACTCTTGTGCCTCACAGTACACCCTCACACCTGCTGGTGAACTGACAAAACACCTTCATTATAACTACACAGCTCTTGTGCCTCACCCAGTACACACCCTCATGCCTGCTGGTGAACTGACAAACACCTTCATTATAACTACACAACTCTTGTACCTCACAGTACACCCTCATACCTGCTGGTGAACTGACAAAGCACCCCTTCATTCTCTTCACAACTCTTGTGCCTCACAGTACACCCTCCACCTGAGTGGTCAACTGACAAACACCTTCATTATAACTACAACTCTTTGTACCCTCACAGTACACCCTCTCACTTACCTGCTGGTGAACTGACAAACACCCTTCATTATAACTACACAACTCTCTTGTACCTCACAGTACACCCCTCACACCTGGTGGTGAACTGACAAACACCTTCATTATAACTACACAACTCTTGTACCTCACAGTACACCCTTACACCTGCTGGTGAACTGACAAAACACCTTCATTATAACTACACAACTCTTGGTCACCTCCACAGTACCCTCACACCTGATTGGTCTGGCAATAAACACCTTCATTATAACTTCTACAACTATTGTACCTCACAGTACACCCTCACACCTGCTGGTGAACTGACAAACACCTTCATTATAACTACACAACTCTTGTACCTCACAGTACACCCTCACACCTGGTGGTGGTCAACTGACAAACACCTTCCTTATAACTACACAACTATTGTACCTCACAGTACACCATCACACCTGTTGGTGGTCAACTGACAAACACCCTCATTATAACTACACAACTCTTGTATCTCACAGTACACCCTCACACCTGGTGGTGGTCAACTGACAAACACCTTCATTATAACTACACAACTATTGTACCTCACAGTACACCCTCCACACCTGTTGGTAGTCCCAGCAATAAACACCCTCATTATAACTACACAACTCTTGTATGCAGTACACCCTCACACCTGGTGGTCAACTGACAAACACCTTCATTATAACTACACAACTCTTGTACCTCACAGTACACCCTCACACCTGCTGGTGAACTGACAAACACCTTCATTATAACTACACAACTCTTGTACCTCACAGTACACCCTCACACCTGGTGGTGGTCAACTGACAAACACCTTCATTATAACTACACAACTCTTGTACCTCACAGTACACCCTCACACCTGGTGGTGGTCAACTGACAAACACCTTCATTATAACTACACAACTCTTGTACCTCACAGTACACCCTCACACCTGCTCGTGGTCAACTGACAAACACCTTCATTATAACTACACAACTCTTGTACCTCACAGTACACCCTCACACCTGCTGCTGGTCAACTGACAAACACCTTCATTATAACTACACAACTCTTGTACCTCACAGTACACCCTCACACCTGGTGGTCAACTGACAAACACCTTCATTATAACTACACAACTCTTGTACCTCACAGTACACCCTCACACCTGGTGGTCAACTGACAAACACCTTCATTATAACTACACAACTCTTGTACCTCACAGTAAACCCTCACACCTGGTGGTGAACTGACAAACACCTTCATTATAACTACACAACTCTTGTACCTCACAGTACACCCTCACACCTGCTGGTGAACTGACAAACACCTTCATTATAACTACACAACTCTTGTACCTCACAGTACACCCTCACACCTGCTGCTGGTCAACTGACAAACACCTTCATTATAACTACACAACTCTTGTACCTCACAGTACACCCTCACACCTGCTGGTCAACTACTGACTGTCACCCGTCTGGTCCCCGAGATGAGCTCGGGATTGTCAGTTGAGTGAAAATGTCCAAAGGAGGGCCACCAGACTGGTGCCTGCACTACGGCACCTCAGTTATCCAGAGAGATTAGAACGTCTCCAACTGCCTAGCTTATACTATAAACGGACACCTCAGAGGACATTACTCAGTCATATGTTTACACCAGCAGCTGGCAGATGCCCGTCCCACTAGGGGTCACAGCTTAAGGTTGAAGCCGCAGATCCAGAAAACCGTAAGGGTAAACTTTTGTAAAGTGAGAATCGTGAACTGTTGGAACAACCTGCCAGAGAGTGTTGTGTGAACTGTTGGAACAACCTGCCAGAGAGTGTTGTGTGAACTGTTGGAACAACCTGTCAGAGAGTGTTGTGTGAACTGTTGGAACAACCTGCCAGATAATGTTGTGTGAACTGTTGGAACAACCTGGTAGAGAGTGTTGTGTGAACTGTTGGAACAACCTGTCAGAGAGTGTTGTGTGAACTGTTGGAACAACCTGCTAGAGAGTGTTGTGTGAACTGTTGGAACAACCTGCCAGAGAATGTTGTGTGAAATTTTCGAACAACCTGCTAGAGAGTGTTGTGTGAACTGTTGGAACAACCTGCCAAAGAATGTTGTGTGAACTGTTGGAAGAACCTGCTAGAGAGTGTTGTGTGAACTGTTGGAACAACCTGTCAGAGAGTGTTGTGTGAACTGTTGGAACAACCTGCAGGAGAGTGCTGTGTGAACTGTTGGAACAACCTGCCAGAGAGTGTTGGGTGAACTGTTGGAACAACCTGCCAGAGAGTGTTGTGTGAACTGTTGGAACAACCTGCCAGAGAGTGTTGTGTGAACTCTTTCAAGACCAGACTTAACCAACACTAGGGCAGGTACAGATACATTTTGTGCCCAGTACTTGCCAACAGTGTATAACAGGCAGTCAGAACTTGCCAACAGTGTATAACAGGCAGTCAGAACTTGCCAACAGCGACGTGACCGACTGCCCAAGCGGCTAACAGGCCGATAAAACAATATTGTTAAAGTAACATTTGTATTGTTGATTCAAGTAAGGAAGAACTGGAGTTGTGTGTAATATAATCAGAATATAAACTTTGACTTGGTAAGTAAGTTGTCTTTCTGATGAACAGAATAGTTAAGTCACTCACTACCACCAGGTGTTAGGGATCACTGCTTATTTTACCAGGAGCAACATGAAAACTTAATTATGAGGCCAAGTTCACTAACTCTACCTCTAACACAACAAGGCTACCACAACTACCAACACAACAAGGCTACCACAACTACTAACACAACAAGGCTACCACAACTACCAACACAACAAGGCTACCACAACTACTAACACAACAAGGCTACCACAACTCCTAACACAACAAGGCTACCACAACTCCTAACACAACAAGGCTACCACAACTACTAACACAACAAGGCTACCACAACTACTAACACAACAAGGCTACCACAACTACTAACACAACAAGGCTACCACATCTACTAACACAACAAGGCTACCACAACTACTAACACAACAAGGCTACCACAACTACCAACACAACAAGGCTACCACAACTACTAACACAACAAGGCTACCACAACTACTAACACAACAAGGCTACCACAACTACTAACACAACAAGGCTACCACAACTACTAATACAACAAGGCTACCACAACTACTAACACAACAAGGCTACCACAACTACTAACACAACAAGGCTACCACAACTACTAACACAACGCGGTATTGTGACAAGTAACACTACCTGACTACTAACACCAGGGTAATGTGAAGCAAGTAACGCTACCACAACTACTAACACAGGTAATGTGACAAGTAACACTACCTGACTACTAACACAAGGTAATGTAACAAGTAACACTACCACAACTACTAACACAGGTAATGTAACAAGTAACACTACCACAACTACTAACACAGGTAATGTAAACAAGTAACACTACCACAACTACTAACTTACAGAGTAATGCCAACAGAAGTAACACTACCACAATGACACTACTAACACAACAAAGATGATATGACAAGTGCTTACTACCTGACTACTAACACAAGGTAATATGACAAGTAACACTACCCTGACTACTAACACAGGGTGATGTGACTGGTGGCTTGCTGCCACGACTACTGACGCAGATGATGTGACAAGTGGCACTACCTGACTACTGGCACAGAGATGATGTGACAAAAGTGACACTGCCGCGGCTACTGGCGCAGAATCAGCCGACAGAGTAACGCTGCCTGACTGCTAACGCAGGGTGATGTAAACCGGTAGCACTGCTGGCTACTGGCACAGGTGATGACAAGTGTACTGCCTGATTGCCTTAGCACGGGTGTTGATTTGACTGGTGGCAACGCTGCCGCAACTGCTGACGCAGGGTGATATGACAAGTGGCACTACCTGACTGCCCCAGCACGCAAGGGTGATATGACGGGTGACACTGCCTGACTACTAACGCAGGGTGATGTGACAAACAACACTACCTGACTTCTTCAACGCAAAGGGGTGATGTGACAAATGACACTGCCACCGACTACTAACACGAGGAGTGATGTGACAGAGCCAACACTACCTGACTACTAACCTGAGGAGTAATGTGACAGAGTAACACTACCACAACTACTAACACCAAGGAGTGATAGTAACTAGTAACACTACCACAACTACTAACACAAGGGTAATGTAAACAAGTAACACTACCTGACTACTAACACAAGGAGTAATGTAACAAGTAACACTACAACTACTAACACAAGGTAATGTAACAAGTAACACTACCTGCAACTACTAACACAAAAGGAATGATATGACAAAGTAACACTACACAACTACAAACCTGAGAGTAATGTAACAAGTAACACTACCACAACTACTAACACAGGGTAATGTAACAAGTAACACTACCACAACTACTAACACAGGGTAATGTAACAAGTAACACTACCTGGCTTCTACCTAACCTGAGAGTAATGTAACAAGTAGCTTACTACCTGACTACTAACCTGAGGTAATGTAACAAGTAACCTCTTGGGATAGATGGTGTGGACTCCGCTCTCTTTTCCCTCCCGCCTTGTACCCGCGTCCTCACAGTCCCTCACAGGTCTGGTGGTCACAACACAGGTGTTAATATTGTCTTGGAACAAAGACCATCTACAGTTAGACTTATGTGATGATATATTAATGTAATCATAACCTAACCCTAACCCTAATGCAAAAACTTTTACCTATGGTAATATTCTAATGTTTAAAATGTTAACACATCCCAGTCTTATTGAGGTAACACTGTCCTAGCACACACCTTACTCCTACTGGTATTAACACTGTCTAGCACACACCTTACTCCTACACAGTATACTGTCTGCTTTACACCTTACTCCTACTGGTAACACTGTCTAGCACACACCTTACTCCTACTGGTAACACTGTCTAGCACACACCTTACTTCTACTGGTAACACTGTCTAGCACACACACCTTACTCCTACTGGTAACACTGTCCTGCTTACACATATACTCTACTGGTAACACTGTCTAGCACACCTTACTCCTGCTGGTAACACTGTCTGGCACGCACGCTTGCTCCTGCTGGTGGCTTGCTGTCTGGCACACACCTTACTCCTGGTAACACTGTCCTGGCCTGCACCTTGCTCCTGCTGGTAACGCACCAGTCTAGCACGCACCTTACTCCTGCTGGTAACACTGTCTAGCCCCACACCTTACTCCTACTGGTGACTTGCTGTCTGGCACACACCTTACTCCTACTGGTAACACTGTCTAGCACACACCCATACTCCTACTGGTAACTTTTCTCCTGCTTACACACCTTATCTCACTGGTAACACTTAATCCTGTACCACACCTTACTCTACCTAGTAACACAATCCTGCTTACACATACTCCTACTAGTAACACTGTCTAGCACACACCCCTTCTACTGGTAAGCACTGTCTAGCACACACCTTACTTCTCTGTTAACACTGTCTGTACACACACCTTACTCCCTACTGGTAACACTG